GTAAGAATTTATATAAATATAATACTAACTAAAACTTCATAGTAATATATTATTKTATATTTACTTCTATACACATCAGAATAAAATATTTTATAATTAATGTTTAAGAACAAAATAAAATATATTTTATTTACTGAAATTTCATTTCTTACTTTAGTAGTGAAATCATTTTAATTGTAAACAAAATCTAATATTTTAAATAGTATATGAAATATTTTTTTTCAGAAATACTGCACTTATGCTATCTAAATTATTAAATTTTTGCTTTCCATTTTTACAAAAAAACTTTAATTTTTTGTTCTCCTTCTCTCTCTCTCTCTCTCTCTCTCTCTCTCTCTATCTCAGAAAGCATTGTAGTTTTAGTTATTTTAAAAATTATTACATACATTAAAAAGAAAATAATTTCAAAATATTCAGACTATATAAAAATATTTCTACTATCGTTTATCTGAACATTGTTAATTTAAATGTAGAGATATAACATATAATAAATAAATAAATAACAAATGTAGATACAAAAAAGTGTAATAGTAAAAATATTTGAAATTAATTCGTACTAACCATTAATTATAAATAGCATAGTAAAAATTAACAGATATTACAGAGTGTTCATTTAATTTGAAATATTGTTTTTATCTAATTTTATCTATAAAATAAATGACAATATTTACAATCGAACATTAATCGCTTTATATTGTTTTATAATGTTTTCTAAAACAATATGCTCATGATTGCTATGAACAAAAAAATAATGTCTTCTGATAAAAATTACTATGCTTATAACGTAAATTGGTATTACTGCCTTAAGATTTTAACCCCGCCGTGTGTTTCCCTTTCATTTAATTCAACTTCTTTGTCTAAACTTGAATTTTGACACAATTGATCATGGGTCATTTTATACAAAAGAGTATTCGTGTTATCACATTTTACATTATTTAAATCTTTATAAATAGAACGTTTTGATTGAACGAAAAGATGTAAACTTCTAGTACCGCAATTACATTTTATTGGGTTTCCACTTAATGTGAATACTTTCAGAGATCTAGAATACACAAAGCCCAATACTTCCGAATCAATTTCTGATATATTATTATTATGCAATTCTAATGACTGCAAACAAAAAAATTTGTCAAATATCTCCATTAAATGAATTTTAAAAATAATATGATAAGAAGTAACGTACCGTGAGATTTTCTGGTAATTTGTTTATCGTAACTTGAGAAATACGGTTATTGGATAACAGTAAACCAGTTACGTTTATTGATATTAATGCTTGTATCGATGGAACCTCGGTTAAAAAATTCCCAGTTAGATTCAATATTAAAGGATATGTTCTGATAGGTATAAATTGTGTTCGATCGATCAAAAATTCAGACATATTTTTATACGAGCAATCTAAAATACGTGTAGTGTCGTGCAATCTTACAGCACAGGTACAACCAACTTGACAATTTCTTCTAATACTAAAGAATTTGTCTTCGGGACACGTATACGTGTTTAAATCCAATTTTGTAATTTGTGGGCCCTTCGTTCCATTATATTGAACGCACGATAAATTTCCAAGTTTAATTTTAAAATAATTGTAAACAGTTCTTGGCATTTTGTTGTTTAAATAAAGCAACAAATCGTACAAGTAACAATCGCATAATATAGGATTATGATCAACCAGAATGACAACGTCACGTTCTTTACTTTGATAAATTGCCAGTTCTTCGATATCGTGTAGAAAAATGTTACTTATGTTATTATATCTCAGATCGACTAGAATACGGTCTGAGGGTAATATGAAGTTATTCCCCTATAGAAAAAAAAAAGAAATAAAATCAATTAGAAACGATTATTAAGTACAACATATATATTTCCTTTTTATTTTTGATACTTTATCATTTGACGTTTATTAATCAAATTTGATATTTACCGATATGGTATTTATTTGGTTGTAACTCAAATCTAATAATTTTAAGTGATATCTACTTATTGACCAATCGGAAAAGAATGTTTCTATACTGTTGTTAGATAAATGCAATTCACTGAGAAAAGAATTATTATAAAATGGTGACCATTTTGTACTCGTAGAGTTTAATTCTAATTGATTATGCGATAACTTGACAATGAATATATTTGTAAGAGGGAAAAAAGCCATTGGTTCGATAACTGTTAATCTATTTCTTTCCATGTTTAATTCAATCAATGATAGCAAGTTTTCCAATAGATTCCTAAACAAATATTCATATTTACGAAAAGAAAAAACGAAATAACGAAGAAAGAAATTGTGTTGTATAAATTACATAATAACGTACTTTTTTATAGAAGTCATTAGATTCATGGACAAATCAAGTTTTCGTAATTTTTCGAAATCCTTAAAAATATCTGTAGGAAGATCTTCGATTGCGTTGTTTCTTAACAAGAGTGTTTCAACATTTCGTAGACCCGTGAAGATATTTTGTGGTAATGTTTTAAGATAGTTACAATTCAAATTGATATATTGTAATGATATTGAACCCCTGAAAAGATTTTCTGGTAATTTTTTAAACCCATTATTGTTCAAAATGACTTCTTTGAGTTCTTCAAAATTTGACAAAAAAGACACTGGCAGATGGTCGAGCTCTCCGATGTTATGATGCAACAATAATCGTCGCAATTCTTTATTTTGATTTAACAATTTTGATGGAATATAGAAGAAATTGTTCATAGAAATATCAAGTGTTTCCAATTTTTTTAATTGATGAAACGTGGACCGCTGTAATTTGAATAAATTATTCATGTCTAGGGACAATGACTTTAATGACATTAATTCTTCGAATAATCCATCGATTTCTGTCAATTTATTTCCCATAAGGTTTAAAAATTCCAAATTTGATAATTTATCAAAGGTTCCAGCTGTTATCGTTTTTATATCATTTCCAATTAACTCAAGTCTCTTTAGATTCGGAATTTCATCGAAATTATCAGTGGATATTACAAGTTTATTACGCGATAGATCAAGCCATTCCAATTGTGGAAAATTCAAAAAGAAATCCCTTGAAATATTAGTTAAGTCGTTATAAGATAAAGATAATATTTTCAAATTTGGAAACCCTAGA